CCAATTCGGAAATAGCGAACATGTTCAAGAATGTAATAATTGTATACCCCACTGGTCTGAAACAGAGATAATACACACGACATCAAAAGGGTTGTAAAAGAAACAATAAGAATGAAATCAATGGGCAACTGCATTAGTCAGGTGTCGTTACAGCTTAGCAGCAGCGCAAAATCATTCTTGCGGATTTGAAAGTTTTGTGAAGTGCTTGTTGAATGTGAAGGTGTAAGTGGTTTCTTCCTTTGTGTTTCACGTGGATTGATATCTTCTGTTACCGGGATGCTTTGTGATTATGGGTCGGAGAGTAGAGGGAGAGAGTGTACTGTGTACGCGAAGGATTCAGACAAGTGTCTTCCGGATGAGGGGAGCTATTGTTCATTGCTTTGTGGAAAACGTCAAGGTCGTTTGACAATTGTGGTGGAAAGATGTGAGACCTTTGTTATCTTTTGGCTTTCGAGATCGGGAAGGTGCTGTGGTGAAGTTTGTGGAGTGTATATAAGAAGGTGACCAAATAAACTTGTCTTTAGCTTCGACTGTTCATTTTTCTTCTACTTCGAAACTTTCCTCTTTTCCTGCCTCAGTCTCGGGCTAAGAACAAAATGGTTAACATCCACCAGCTCGCCTGCGCAATCACTACATTATCACATTTAAGATATAATCGTAACCGTTACCCATTCTCGTTTTGCCAACCCCCCCTTATTTTATTTTTATTTTTTTTTTTTACTATTTGGATGATGAAGTGCTTTAATGCTTTTTTCGTCGCCCATACCGCGGATATGCCTGCCAGGTGCATGGCTGGGGCGAGAGTAAGCGCCGCCTTGCGAGCAACGAAGTTTGGACAGCCAGACGAAAATTTTCAACTGGGATCCAACTGGTCTTAGTTCAACTGGTTTCTGGAACCAATTCCCAGTGGCAGCTGGTCCCAACTCCATCAACGAAACACGGCACGAAATGGAAGGTTGACAAGTCTTTATTGTCAAAAACTTGGAGAATAAACATAAATAATAGGATCGGTGACGTAGACGCTTCCGGGTTAAGTGACTTGCGGGAGATGAAGGAAGATAGACCGCTGGCGTCTGTCAGCATCGGTGAAGGCGTCTCTCCCCATCGCGTGGAGAAAGGTGCTCACCGGCTCACCCGTGTTTCCGCGTAGCGCAGGAACATTTTCAAGCTAGACTTCCCGCCATGTTCGCCATTGCGATCTCCGCGGCGGTTGTTTCTTCCGTCTGGTTTTCGGGTGCCTTCCGATCGCTGAACTGCATCGTTATATCCTCGAAGTTCACTGCTGCCATCATGGCGTGTTTGTAGTTGGGCCCAAAGAAGCGCAGATATGGTTTTGACATTTTCATAACGACACGTTTATCAATATGCCAACTTGGGCGATGGCTTCCCTTCTCTACCATCCGACGGGTCTAGGACTTTTCGGTGTAGGGCGTTTCGGTGTAGGACGTTTCGGTGCGGTCCTTCCGGTGTACGGACTTTTCGGTGTACGGACTTTTCGGTGCACGGACTTTTCTATGCACGGAAAATCCAAATCACGAGTTTTTTGTGTGCTCTTTTTTTGTTTCCTCTAAACTTAATACGCACTATTTTATCTAAAAATTAATTTTTTTCGCACTTCATAAATTTTTAGATTTGGTCATCCATTTACGGCCACTTACTTATATACCACCTAAGTGACTTTGTCAGGCGCAGTACCATCTTGCGTGAGGATTGGAGACGTTGGACGTTATGGTTCGTTTGTCGGTGTCTCTTTTCCAACGTACGGATTGTGGTATCACATGTCTCGGGTAATTTTCAACAATCTTAAAGGGGCGATGCAACTATTTTTGCACTTTTCGCAAATATCGCTTAGAGCGGACTCCTGACGTTAATGACCTATGAAACACGCGTTCGTTTTTCACTCCACGCAATAGAAGTCCCAGAAAAAATATTCAAGAAAAACGAGCACCGTTCACCCCCCTCAACTCGCAGCCAGAACGAGCGGCCACGTGATCTGGAGCCGATTATATGCCGCCAATGTTGATCACAGCCACGCGCTGAGGTTGGCAAAGCACTCGACACGCGCTCAGTTTCAGACATTGTTATGGCTCGACTATTGTCGTCGTTGCAGTGATTGGACACGGGCCACTACCCGAATGCTTCTCGAGCTAGTAATTATCACGAGCCCGTATCGAGTGCCCACGCAATGCTCGGGTCCAATCTATGAACCGCATTCGAATATCGTCATATGGGTGTAATCTGATCCCCACGTTACGTCATCAGATTTTGCGAAGGAGAGATTGAATGAAAATGATCGCTTTTGTCCTTGAAATTACGCCGCAACAAAGGAGTTTCTTGGCTAGTGGCGTTGCGTGCGAGTATCCTTGGGTCCCACTAGCGCCAGTAAGCTCGCGTAAAGTGAAAAAAACATTCCAATTGAATATCGTTCCACCGCTCCTTTAAGCTTCTTGCTGTTGATGCCTTTCCTACACAGACTACCAATAATAAAGCCCACACCTTTATAGGAGGCGCCGAGAACGGCTGTACCGACCCAACGCGTAAACACATGTGATGCGTCAAGTACGTACGTTGGAAAAGAAACACCGGCAAATTAAACATAATGTCCAACGTACCCAGTCCTCCCGCAAGACGGTGCTGCGCCTAACAAAGTCACTTAGGTCGTATATGAGTAAGTGACCATAAATGGATGACCGAATCTACAAATTTATAAAGTGCGAAAAAATATATTTCTAGCTAAAATCGTGCCTATTACGTTTAGAGAAAACAAAAAAAACAACAACATGATTTTGATTTCCCGTGCACCGAAATGTCCGTGCACCGAAAAGTCCGTGCACCGAAAAGTCCGTGCACCGAAAAGTCCGTGCACCGAAAAGACCGCACCCAAACGTCCTACACCGAAATGTCCGGATCCCACCGCCGACTGGCGACCACCGCGTTCGGTGTTGGTCTCATTGGTCCGGTCGCGTCTAAAGCGCTGCCTATCCTGACTAATCCAAGTGGTGCATGTAGGATTCCGCGTTTTAAGAGTTTCTCGTGAAATTCAAAACATGTTTTTAAAAGCTTTTTTTTTTCTTTTTTTTTTTTCGTGTGTGTGTGTGTGGGGGGGGGGGGGGGATATGGAATGTATTTTTGTTAGATTCCCAATTCTTTAAAATTCAGAGCGAATTTCACTTCGTGAATTTTAAAAAATCGAAAGCAAAATAAATAAGGTCCGGTTACCATGACCCGTTGTCCCGAAGGCACCTCGACGTGCTAAAACCCCTTTTTTTTTTCAGAAGTTCTAAATTTCAAAGTGGAATCTCCTCACGACCACTGACCTTGTGCTCTTATAAAGTTTAGTTGTAAACTTTTCGTTTTTTTTTTTTTTTTTCGCCATTCTTGTCTAGCTCGCTTGCACCTTTGCGTTTAATTGCATTATAATCATAATTTGCGTTTAATTGCATTATAATCATAATTGTAAAACTCCGCCTTTTTGCGGTTTATTTTGTTGCTGTGACCTCAAAATTCAGAGTTTTTCGGGTAAACTCAAATTGACGGAAAATTTACCGGCGAGTGCTTTTCGGATTTATCCGAAAACGCGGAACCCTAGATATGGTATGAGCGGCTTCTTCGTAGCGGAGGGCTTAGCGGAGGAAAAAAACGCGGTCTACGAAAACTCCCTAATAGGAAGTTTTCGACCGGGTTCCCCCCTCCGCTAAGCCCTCCGCAACGAAGAAGCCGCTACTGCGCCTGCGCGCCCATGACCTTGACTGGAAGTTCCGGGTATCGTAGCGGGTTGCGGAGAGCGTAACCGGATTGCGAAAACGATCTACGAAAACTCTTTAATGACCGTTGCTCCCGTAATGCATTGTTAACACTCGCTTCACAGTACAAAAAGAAGAAAGCGACGAAACGCCACGTTTGGAGGAGTCTACTTTACGGTGCCAGCGACATCTGCATTTCCCCGAACACTGGAAGCTGCGGTCGCCTGGTTAGGACGCACCCTAGTCGGGACGCGCTACCTGGGGTCGCCAGTGTGACATGGCTGTTTAAAAACAATATAAGTGTGCCGCGAAACCCAGTAAACTAAAATTTTATGCAAACATCAGGCTCCTGTCGCTTTGCACTAATCTCACATAAAAGATTTTTTTTTTACAAAAAGCGTTTTTTTTTTTGTTTTTTTTTTACGCAAAACATGCTTTCTAAAAGCTCATGGTGACCAACGTAAAGAAGAAAAAAAAAAAGATTGAGCCGCCATCTTGGCACCTTGAGCCGGGGGGTTTCGGTCTGGGAACATGCATTCAGTGACTCTAGCAATAGCCATATAAAGCGAATTTCATGTTTTTAGTTGATGGTAAATATCCAAGGAGTTCATTGCCTCGAACCTCTTGCGTGCTAAAACCCTTTCATACAAACAAAAAAAAAAAAAATCCCCGAAAAACAAAAACAAGCTTTAATGATTGTATAAAGGACTATACAATTTTGATATATTGTAATACCATTATAAATATATTACATGTTCCTGTACACATTATACAGGGTGTTTGCTTTTAATTCAAATATAGTTTTTAAGGGAGTAAAAGTTATACGAGTGCCGTCGTCATCATGTATTTATCAAGATCGGCGGACATTAGACGAAGGGGTGATCGTCATGGTAAGTTGACTAAATAACTTACTTTTTTTTTAAAGTTAACCTTTAATGAATGATTTTAGGGGTCATGTTGCAATTGAAATCTTTATTTACGGAAATTACACTTAGACCAGACCAGTTGAAAAGATTTGCAAAAATGTAAACGTGTTTTTTAGCCAGATTTAAAAATTGCAATGCGCTCAAAAGCGCACCGCATACCGTTTCAGTCACGCCGGCACTTGGCACTCGTCTGTCACCCCCCCCTCCCCCCCCCCCCCTTTTTTCCTTTTTAAGGTTTGAATTAATATCAAACTTTCTGTATAATGTTACAAAAGATACCTGTCTATAGGGTACACCCAAAAATCGTCTCAAACTCACTAATCTTTTACAGAACACATCAAGGCAATGCACTCCACTTGTCACACGATATTAGGATTGGCCTGTATGTTCATGAATACAAAAGGTAAGCATCCAAACTGTATCGTACAAGTATATAATAAAAGTAGCAGCCTTTCTGCTGGATAATAATTCGTGTATAAATTTCCCCCAGATTTTCTCAAAGGCTTGCATTCCAATGAGCAGGGCCCATGCGAAGCTTTACCAACATTCCTACATGAATTAAACGTTCCATGGAATGCTGAAGGTGGCGCCGACGATGTCTTGGACGAGGCCACCATGATCAAGCTATGCTCTCAGTCGCCCAAGTCAGATAAATCCACACTGCTTGCAACACAGGTGAACAACAAGGCATAGTATTTGTTCTGGCATAACATTGTGGCAATTGTTTTGGCAAGACAAATGTTCCAAAGGAATACATAGTTCTTTTACAGCTGTCATTATAGATAAATATATTAATTGTAACAAAACTATATGTAGAATTATTTTTCTTTTAGTGGCACATAAAAATACCGAGCAAGTGTCTAGTAGAAGTTAAATTGCGAAAAAACGGGGACGGGTGCTTTTTAGGTTCGAGAATGGAAGAGGGGAGGGGGGGGGGGGGGGGGGCACATGGTAGGCCTTTGTTCCGACAGAAGAGCAGCATGGGCGGAATGTTTACAAGATGTCCCAAAAAGAAACTCTAGTGGTTTCTCGTGTTTTTATGCGCAAAAATAAAGTATGCAACGCCGAACGCCCAGTCACCGTCTAAATGCACCGCTAGTGGTCTGGACCAGATGCCAAAGTTTTAGGACAAGCCGTTACCCGATTAAAATGTTATAAGCGACCGCCATAAATTTTTAATCGAAACATGGCGGCCGACGGAGCCCACGAATGCATAGGGCGGAATGGCCAAACATAGAATTGTGGGCCCGAACCAATAGGAACGGGCCCCATTTCGCAGTTTCAGAAAATAACCTACCCCGTACGAAAATTTCAGATAGGAATGGTTCCAGCTCGGATCAGCGCGGTTCTAAACTTGTGGACAGTTCAGATCCGCGCGGGTCCGACCTGGTACCGCGCGTTTCTGGGTGTAACCAGTCGGATCCAGTGAGACACAATGCACTGGAACCGCACGGTGATGGGTGGATCCAATCCTTTCCTCTTGGTTCCAGTATGGTCTGCTCCCAGGCAGCGGGTGCGTACATGCGTGACTGGAGGAGCAGGGGAAGGGAGGGGGGGGGGGGGGGGTCGGGGGTCCGCGGGGAACTCCCGTTCTCTTCCCCGCGGTCTCTCGCAGGTCACGTGTTAGGCACAGGCGCATCCGCTACGCAAGCGCTGCGAGCGGGCGTTTTCCGCGGCCGCTCCTCGCTTTGTCTGTTGCAGTCGGCGGCAGCGGCCGAGGGTTTCCGTTCTTCTGCGTTTCGTCGGACTGTCGGCCGGCGCTCGCCCGGCGGCGACGTTCGCGCTGCGGGCGAACGGACACTGACTCGCCCATCGTTGTCCTGGATAGATACCCACTGACCTCGGGTATAAATCTTCATATGGTATGAAGCTGCCGACCCAATGCACTTTGACTTTGCATCTGGATGCGTTTCGCGCTGTTGCGCTTGGTGACAATACTCGGACAACTAGATATACCGCTTGCCCGCCGAAACTTCCCGATGCGCTCAAAACTGGATACTGTGCTTGTGCGTGCTGTGTGTGCGTTCTGTGCACCGTTTTTGGTGCCGATCGACGCCAGGACGACCGTGTGCGCCGCCGGAATTCCCACTGCGCTCACCACTGGACTCTACAAAAGTATTTCGCGCGATGCCCTCAGCCGTTACAAGCGAGAGATCGGCGCGATTTCACACCCAGGCTGATCCGCCTCTGGGTGTAAAATCGCGACGATCTCTCGCTTGTAGCAGCTAAGGGCATCGCGCGAAATACTTTTATAGAGTCCAGTGGTGAGCGTAGCGGGAATTCCGGCGGCGCACTGCCTGGGTCTGAAATTGGGTCACCGGTTGGTACCGCACGGTACCAATGGCTCTTCAAAGCCACTGGAACCAGCCGGTTCCACCTGATCCCGTCTGGAACTGCGCGGTTCCAGGCGGGATACAAACTGGTGCCCCCATTTTAGATCCAGGAGGCGGAACCGGCATTTTTCATTCCGGTCTGTATCTGATATTTTTGTACGGGACAACCTTTGAATAATATAATTGTTTGTTCTGAAACTTTGGCATCCGGTCCGGACCACTAACTTAGGCGATGTGTAGTTTATTTTTGTGGTGAAAAAAAGAGAAGAAAACACTGCAAAAACACGGATGATTATATTAATTTATTATCGTTCACATTTTCGCATCGCCGGCCTTGCGCAGCTTTGAAAGTCCGGCTTCAGGGCGCTGCTATCTTGCTCGCTTGGGGTGCGCTCGGACGCGTCATAATCTGATTAGGAAGCTTTGCTAAGGCGTCGTAATCGGATAATGGCCGCGCCAAAGCGCACCCCGCTGAGCAAGGTGGCGGCGCCCTGAGATTGGACTTTTTCCACTTTAGCCCGGTCTGGACCGCTAGCTCAGAAGGCATCTAAGCTTCATTTTTGTTCTTGAAAAACAAGCAATGCAGTCCTCTTCAGTATCACTTAGGAAGACCACACGTCCAATGTTACGACGTAGTTCTGTCGCAAGTCGCCAAGCTGCCCAAACCGGCTAGTTCAAGCGGGCGAATTTATGCGCAACCAACAGCGCAGTCAAGGCTACGCTGTGGGCGTAGCCAACATTGAGCTAAACGTCATCACCCGTGCACCCTTTTGCTTGCTTTTACTTCTCCGGGAAACCGTAACAAATGACGCCACCAACGTTTCGTCTCGGCGCTCCGCGGTGCCTAGCGCGATTCAAACCAACGCGTTTTTGGACGCGCGTGGGGCGTGCGCTTTCCGGAAATTGCGTATTTCGTGACGTCGCGCTGAATCCTTGCGCCTTCAGGGCGCGCATAAGAAAGTTGGATGATTTCCACTTTTTCTGAATGCGCACGAAAGCGGGCTGTGCCGTAGTAGGGCGCTCCTCTCTCGACCAAAAAGGGCACTAGTTCCGGCTCTGAAACGCGGAGCCGGAACTAGTGCCCTTTTTCGGGAGTTCCACAACGGAGGTAATCTATAGTAACGTGGTCCACAAGTTTGGAACCGCGCGCATCCGAACTGGAACAGCTCCTATCTGACATGTTCGTACGGGGGACCACGACGGGGCGGCCGGACGGCTCCCAAGAAGCGCGCTGCACAAGGCCGTGCGCTTCCCGGAAATTGCGCATTTCGTGACGTTTTCGCTGCTCCCGGCTGCTCACAACAGTCACAAGTCAATCTCTAGAGCGTCCTTAATTTTCTGCTTTCTTTTTCGTTTTAGTTTGCAACGAATTTAACTTTGAAAGAATTCGCATCTTCTACTTTTCGCATTGTTTATTATCAGAAATGACAGAAAACACATCTCCTTCCTTCGAAATGTTGCGATTCCGCCACGTGATCGGGAAACGAAGATTAGATCATTTCCCGACCTGCAGCCTCGAGCGGCGGCCACGAGAACCACGCGGCATGACGTCAATGGGGGACTTCTAAAAAGATAGGAAGTTGTGCAAATACCTGCTCAATAAAAGGTAGATTTTCTTTTTCCAAAAATCTTGTCGTTCCAACATAAACATAAATGCGTCAAGAACCTGATATCATCGACATCTATCCGAGGTCAACAAAACCGTCAGCTCTATCTGCTACCGCGAACGGACCCAGAAGATACTTTCCTCCTTTCGCCATGCTGATCGCGCTGCGCAAGCACGTGGTCACGCGGTCGCGAGCGGGTGAGTCCTATGGCTCTAGAGAGAGAGATATCTTCACCTGAACCCCTCGCGTCCCCCATTCACGTCACAGCTAGCTCACGTGACTCGGAATATGGCGAAGGAGTTGAGAGGTGCCGAAAACGTCAATCTTTGTCAATTTTTAAAATAAAAATTAAGACATGCAGGCAAAAGCGGTTTTTGTTCTTTACTTCAGAAAGGTCGAGACACCAACTCCCAAACTATTTAAGCGAAGCACGGAAATTGTTGCACAGCTTATAATTTAAAGGGATCCTTCAACGAAATTTGAAATATATTCGTCGTGTTCAGAAATAGGTTGAATATGATCCACAATATCCGTAAATGACAATCGCACGTTTGTATTTTGAGCCTGGTGGCTGTATTTTTTTGTTAAAAACGGCCCACTCTAGCTAGCGCTCGGAGAAGGCCCAGCTTAGAGCGCGTGACATCCGACGCAATCGTGACGGGTCGTCTCGGGACAAGCAAAGCTACGGCGAGGCTGACGTCGAGGGGATGGCCTAGTCGTTCCGGAGCCTTTTAAAAGGCTCTGAGTCGTTCCAGCCACCGAAGCGGCTGCTTTTGTACGAATTTTAAGTGACGGGTTAATCTTTTATAATCTTGTAAGGGGACAATAGCTACTTCTGGAACACACAAAAGGGATTCTCGGGAAGACGGGAGTTCCTCCTTCCCCTCTTCTCTCGTCGTGGCCGGAGGCGAGACACTCGCCGTCACTAGCTGTCAAGGTGTCAAGACGGGCATTACAAACGAGGTGTTAGAGACACCCCCCGGTGCTCTTTGCTAATCGTTTAATTCGTTTTAAAATTCCTTTTCGTGACTTTTTTAACGAGATATTGGCGTGTTTGATGTGATACTGCTCCTTTGAACGCATATAGACCATAAAATAAGCGCCGAAATTTCGTTGTAGTATCCCTTTAATTATGTCCCGTGTTAAGCATGGGATAGACTTGCTTTTTTGTATTATTTTTTTCGGTACAAATCTTGCAAGACAACACTGGAACAAAGGAAGCGGATCGGATTCACCGACCACTGTGCGATTCCAGTGCGTTGCATTTCACTGGATTCGAGTGGTTACACCCAGAATCGCGCGGATCGGAAATGTCCACAAGTTTAGAACCCCGCGAATCCGAACTGGAACCGCTCCGATCTGACATTTTCGTACGGGTCATATCAAATAAATATTCTCTCTGATCTTTTCGCTCTTCCTGGACTTAGTTTGTGTCAATCAATGTGTGGCAGGTTAAAAGCGCCCGTTGGGATAATTTTAGCTCTGTTTTTCACTTGTTGTTAAAGGGATACTACAACAAAATTTCGGCGCTCATTTTTTGGTCTGTGTGTTCAAAGGAGCAGTATCACATCGAACATACCAATATCTTGTTAAAAAGAGTCTCGTAAGAAATTTTAAAACGAATTAAACGATTAGCAAAGAGCACCTGGTGGATGTCGCTAACGCCTCGCTTGTAATGTCCGCCTAGGGACCTTGACAGCTAGCGATGGTGAGTTTCTCGCCTCCGACCACGACGAGAGAAGGGGGGAAGGAGGAACTCCCCTCTTCCCGAGAATGCCTTTTGTGTGTCGCAGAAGTCGCTATTGTCCACCTACAAGATTAGAGAAGATTAACCCGCCGCTCAAAATTCGGACAAAAGCAGCCGCTTCGGTGGCTGGAACGACAAGGCCATCCTCTCGACGTCAGCCTCGCCGTAGCGTTGCTCGTCCCGAGACGACCTACGTCACGATTGCGTTGGATGTCACCTGGTCTCCACTGGGCCTTCTCCGAGCGTTTGCCAGAGTGGGCTGTTTATAACGAAAAATACAGCCACCAGACTCAAGATACAAATGTGCGATTGTCATTTACGGATATTGTGAATCATATTCAACCTATTTTTGAACTCGACGGGAATATTTTAAATTTCGTTGAAGTATCCCTTTAAATGATCGTCTATTTTTCCGAGGAAATTAATTCCAGTGCCCCAGTTAGGAAGACCATCTCGTCAAGGAGCAGTTAGCACCATGCGCTCGCGTGGTCGTTAATATCAGGCAACGCCTCATACTTCATAAAGCCCTTTGTGAGAATTGCCACGCCTCGCCTCCTCCCCCCCCCCCCCCCCCCCTCCTCCTCTAGCCCCTCTACCCTTCTGGGCGTTTTAAGATAAGATCGAACAACTATGTCCAATGACCATTTTTAATTTGGATGAAAAAAAAAATAATTTGCTGGCTCTAGGCACAGAAGAATAAAACTGGGCTGAGAGACAATTCCTCTTTGGCGTCAACCTCAACGGCGCCGTGTAGCGCCATCTGCGGTCCGAGCAGAGAACTATAGCGTAAACAGCAAACTATTCAAAGAAAAAAAAAAAAAAAAAATTGAGCTTCAGCTTTTAGCCGAGTTTGGGAATTTTAATTCGCTATGAAGTTACTTTTCTATCTTTTTTGCCAGTTTTTTGCGTCCCTCTTCCAGTGCTCTCGCATATTATTTTTGTATTATTTTCAAGTTTATTTCCTGTTGGTCTTACTTCGGATATTATTTGCATAAGCATTTTGGAGACTTACCTCGAGCCTATTAATATTGTCAGCAATGATTCGAGAGCCCCGATTCGGTTCTTATATATTTCCGAGCCATTATAATTTCAATTTAATGTAAATAATTTATAATACTATGATATTTGTATGCGAATGCAATTGTATTAGAGCGTGTGGATTTTAGTTTTATAATATCACTTGTAAAATATTCATATGTGACTAATTGTCGCATTTTTATTTGCCTGGCTAACAAAAAATGTCTAACCGAATTTTTTTTTCTTTGGCTATCTCAGCGTCTTCCACCATATGAACTGATTTATTATTATTTATTAAAAATATAAGAACGTAGTACTTCATTGCCCCAAACTGTCAAGTTCTAACATGAATTTAACAAAATTCATTAAAGGAAAGTACAATACGTGTCATTTATGCAGCGATGCTTAAGCCCTCTCAAACATTTGGGCAAGGAATGAACAAATAAATCCATTACATTCTGTACAACTCGTTTAAGGTTATATGGCCCAAGTCGGGTCGCTCTCAGAAATAAGTAATTGTAAAGTAATTGCACTACCTTTTAGAAGTAATTGTAATTATTTTTCACGTAGTAGTGATTGTAATTAAACTACTTTTGAAGCAAAGTAATTGTAATTAAATTACATTTTCGAATTTACCCATGTTTGTACGCGATGGAAAGGAAGAAACCGAAGCGACTTTGCAAACAGATCAGCTTACAACCTTGGCGGTAACGTGATACAGGAGGTAGGACCTGCGCCGCCTGAGCGCAAACCAAGGAGCAAACAGATCCGCTGCCGTGGAGGGCCGCAAAACATGTAGAAAATAGATACTTAAAAAAAAAAGTAAAAATAATTGCGACTGAATGAGATTTTCCGTAACTTAATTTATAAGACAACGGTTTAGAGAATTGTGAAATCCAATTTGGGTATGGTCATGTGACATACGTCAGTGACGGTGCAGCACGCCACTTTAAGAACAAGTACCAACTACACGAGCTGCAGAGCCGCAAGTACACGTCAGCGAGGTGTATATTTCCGCAACTTGCAATGGCAGGAGTACTAGTGATTGAGTCGGGGGTCGTGTCAAGCACCAGGCAACGGTGTACAACCTCCGACGGCCCACCAAGTCGGTGATCAAGTCGGCGTCAGAGATGGTTGCCCCACTGAACACTAAACTGCCGAACGTGAAACTAAACCACCTCCCGAAAGCTTATGTCAAACCGTTCAGGGACATGAAAGCAAAGGACCGGAACTTTGTTTCCGTTGTGCGTGGAATTCAGTCCTGTCATTTGTGGTAGCGTACGCAGTCCGACACATCGCAACCCCAGCTGTTTTAGCAAGAACAGTAGATGCAGAAAATATATATCTTCGAAAGTAAAGTCTCCTATGGCTGCGAAAAGCAGATCGAGGTCGCGAGCTTGCGGTGCCATTGAGAAGGAACGAACATGGGCGCAAGCTCGGTATTTTATGGTAAATTTACGATAAAGCAGTAGTTCTTCAAAACTTCATAAAATATTTCTAATTTTCTTTTTCCCCGGCAAGGCGATAACCGCCTGGCTGCACCTTTATTCGGTAGTCACTGCGTTAGCTCCATCTATTTACGAATGTAATGTTTCTCTACGATTCTCCACCTGTCTCAAAGGTCGAAAACAGCTGCAGCATTGAGTGCACAACTGGGAAAAGCGGAGTGTACCACGTCAACATAACAGACGGGTTAACCTGTGGCATCGAAAAGGTAACCCCTGCGGAAGCACCTGCCCGTGCCCCATCCGACGGCGTCTCGTGTCCGGCGTAGGTCTGCATTCGCACGGAGTGCAGGAGGAGGCCTTCCATCACCGAATCGGACATGTGCAAGGCTCTACACCCCCGAGCGGCCGCACGAGCATCGGTCTGTTGCCCCCTTTGCTAAACTAAACAGTTAGATCGAGAAAAAAAAGAATTAAATTCGGTCTTTTTGTTTGCATAAATAAACCACGAATCTCAGAATACTGAAACTCAGTGAGAATGTGACGTCCGCGGTAGTGTTAAAACACGAAAACTGTAGTACATGACATTATTCGGATCAAAAGAGAAACAAAATTTCAGTGAGCCGACGTTCACCGACGTCCATCAAACCGTAGTTTGAAATTGTGGGCGCCTGTAGCCTTTATTTTAGTGTAAGAACTGGCCAATTAGAAATACGATATTGATTTATTTCACGCCGATAAGCTTTTTCGACATCTGCAATCTCAAAGGTTTGGTTTGATAAATAGGGTTAGGTAGACACAGACTTGTACGTAATCCGTTACAAGTAACGAAATTACTTGTAATCCCTTACATTTATCAGTAATTTTGTAACGAAATAATTACATATTTTCTAGAGTAATTTTAAAGTAATTCCTTTACATTTTTGACGTAACGGATTCCTTGTAATCCGTTACATTTTTTTTTAAGAACCGAACCAACACCCCCCCCCCCCCCCCCCCCCCCATTCTAAATAAAGTTCTTTTGTTTTGTTTTTTGTAAAGTCGAGCGTAGTGACACTGTCACGCGAATCGACCAGCGCAAAGGGAGGCTTGGCAATCTTCAGTTCCGGAAAGCCTTTTTTTGCAACACCAAGCCCCTGTATCTGGATCTATCATTTTTAGACCCTAACATCAATGACAAAAAACTCAAATAAACAATTCACAAAAAAAAAGAAAAAGGGAGGGGGCAAGTGATTTCCGTTTCTTTTTTTTAGTCCCTTTGTTTTTCTTTGCGATCGAAGACGGGGAGAGGAGGACACCAAGTGATTGTGCACCTCTTCGAGAAGCTCGAGGCGGTAAGTGCACTGAAAAGAATTAACAATGTCCATCTCGGATATAGTGACTACGTCCATTTTTATAATGTCACTACAGGAGACAACGCTCCGTCTACCCTACCCTTTTTGTGAGTCAGCTTTTTGCGAGCACTTAGAAAATGGTAATAGCCTTCCTTTCTTCTTCTTCCTGTTTCGCTTCAGCAGGACGCATCTTATCTTAAACAGATATTTTTACAAATAAAACATTATGGTGGCTGACGTAGACTCGATATTCTGGGCTTGAGGAGAGAGCGAAATTCGTGAGTGGGGGCCATAGCGCGGCTTTCTTAGTACTCTACACTTTGCTGCCCGTGGTATCAGTGGACGTCTATCTGGAGAACACCAGAGTAAACTGCAGTCGGTTCGTGCTCCGTGTGTTTTTGAACGGCACCAAGAAAGGTACACACGGCGAACGTGCGTTTACATTTCCCTGTTTTAACCGACGTTCTAATTAATTGTTGTTATGAGTGTTCTTTTTTCTTGTATTACTTATATTTATATACTGGAAACTTTTTTTTATTCGCCAACGTCTCAAGTGAGGCTCAAACTGTTCAGAACCAAAGGAAGAAGAATATCGAGACAAACGTTATTTAATATTTAATTATCACCTTACTGTTACAACTATGTTTTGCTATTGATGACTTCTACAGCTTCGCGATTTAGAGAGAATGGAGAATTTTAGTAGATCGGTCCGATGACTTCGATAACGATATCCGATGCTTCGCCGCCGTCTTTGCGTATGCATCATATCGTTATCGGGTACGTTATCGCGGGTGTCGGAGGTATCGGAAGGCTCTACTAAATCTCTCGAATAGCAGGCAACGGCTGCAACGACGAAGCTTTGCTCTACATTCGAGGTAAATAGTACTTCTCTTGCTTCGCTGAAAAAGCTCAATGCAGAGCATGAAGCATTCGTGAAGAACAATATGGCACTCCCATCCAGTGCCTCGGCTCAAAGGGTGTTCAGCGTAGTAGTCGACATATTGAGTAAGAGATAATGCAAAATGTCTGACGAGACATTCGAGAGCCAGCTGTTGCTCAAAATACTCAAGGTCATTAAATGGAACAGGTGGAATAACCCTCTTCCCTTTGTTTCTTACTTGAGGACAATAGTGTTAAAAGTAACGCCCCGAAAGTAACGGATTACTTTTTGAAGTAACGGTCAGTTACTTTCATAAGAGGGTAATTGTAATTGTAATAAATTACAATTTAGCCTTGAGTAATTGTAAATGTAATTCCTTACTATTTTTTAGTAACGTGTACAAGTCTGGGTAGACATCGGCTCTGAGAAATTGTTTTTCTTTAGCATCTTTTGATTCAAATAACGTCATGTGCTCAAACTTTCGCATTTTATCACCACCGCTAACGTCACATTATCACGAAGTTTCAGCTTGCTGCGATGCATAGTTTAATTAGGCGAACCGAAAAACCGTGTTTATTTTTCTCGGACCCCATCACTAAAAATAAGTCACGCGTAGAGTTTGAGGGTGCTGCCATTTTGTAGTTTAGTGTAGAGAGGGCAATTCCAAAATGTGATTTTCTGAGCTTTTTACACGGTATCAGAAAGTCATCGCCGAATGTTTGAACATTCCCGTAGGCCCGAAAAGCGTGTCCTGCGATTTCAGGTAAAGCTTCAGACAACTGGCAACAAGACTGTCTACAGCCCTATGCAGTAGTTTGGCGTCATTCTGCGACTCTCCGGGAGATTTCTTTTCTGAGTTCCTACGCAGACTTGGCGCGGAATGTTCAGGCGGTGGGGAAGAAATTGAAATCGCAAACAGCATCTGTCAGGCTTGTCGGCGACACTCAGTGGCAGCGAGTGAAATATGTGCTTCGAGCACCAAGTTACCCACTTGCATAATTCATAACTGATGAGTGCCATAGTGCTTTCGACGTAAAGTGTGATTGTGATTTGCCCACTGTAGTGGATAGCAGTGTCGGGGAATACTACTTCACTTGAAGCACATTCTTTGTGCGTGCACTTACACTTTATTTAGTCTTTTCTTTTTAATTCTTTTCGGGTAAACTACAGCTGCTGAGTAAAGTACATTCCCCAAATTCGATCCTATTAAATTAGTATCACATAATGATGTCTTGTCAAAAAATAAGTGCCTTATAAGTTGTGTTAAATAGTTCGCCAGCGAGAAAAAAACAACTTCGTGGCCACTTGAATTTATCCAATATTCACCGACATTTCTGAAAATAATTGATGCACCCCCGATTACATCCACAATACATAACAGCTAAAAAACAAAAAAACAAAAACAAAAAAACACTGTATAGGGGAATGAAAGGTCATCATGAAAGATTATGTTCAAAAGTACTTGTACTTTACTTTTGCGCCCGGTGTACTTACTTCATTTGAAGTACATAACCTCTCGTTCACCTTGTATTTCACTTCAAGTAGTTTTCAGAAGTATTTTACCCAACACTGGTAGATATGTTATGTGCTATGGGTACAAATGAAATGCGAACAGCGGAGTGCGTGGACTTCCGCATATGCTGCGCAACCTACAGACAACTAGGAACTGATAAATCTGCGGAGTGGAGAGAGGAGTGTGCACACTGCACATTCAGGGGTGGAAACCATGAAATGTACTTGGGAGCAGCCACGGGAGTAGCTGAAACAGCTGTTTTGGAGCATGTTGGGAGCAGCTAAACGACATTCCGGAGCAGGCTAGAAGCAGCTCAGATCAGTTCTCCTTGCACTTCAGCTTGTGTCTTAGACAAGTACGGGAGGAATTTCAATTCACAGATGAACATGAGTGGTTAGGGACCTATAGGTAGATGGGATAACAGTGTAACAGATGTGAAAACTTGAAACTTTGTGAGCCTTAATGAGGATCAAAAAGCAAGTACCACATGTATCTGAAGATAGTGTCCTCGATATTTTCTGAGTGGCTTTCAGCTGCTCAAAATGCAAACCAGCACTGCTATCGCACCACCCACACATGCTCGACATAGTAATTATATCGGCGAACCATGCGACGTGCGTAAGCAGGGAACGCGCAGTTGCGCGGAGGAACAGGGCAACAAATTTCGGGTTTATCCAATAGTGCAACTCAATATTGAAGCAGCAGACTACGATTAACGGAATCACTATATTCGAAGCGATAAGCAGGAGCAAAGTTAAGGTAAAGTACACCGAGCAGATCTAACGCTCGCGTGAGAGCTGCTGGCCGGCAAGGTTTCGGATCGGACCGCCTTTCAGTTCCATCTAGCGGGAATGCGGTTCCAACTTCTAACGATAAAGTACTAAAAGGAATCTTTTGCTCATTGGTTTTCAACTGGCTGATGTCCGGATCCCGGGCCGCAGAGCCTCAGGCAATCTGACGCTTAATAACTCGACCTCACCTCGGCCGACTAGCTTAATTGCTTATGGTTGAAGAATAACAATTAATCCAGTCGCAGGTGGTGTAGCGCTTGGAATCTGACCCGAGTTTTTTCGCCCGCTTCTGAATAGGGATAGACAGGGAGAATAAACAGAACAAAGCATTGCAAGGCCGACCAAGCTAAACACGCTCATTGTTGCCACTTGGGTCGAGAGAAACCGAAACCAAGACAAAATGCAATTTTTTTGGCGCACGTTTTGCGATTTGGTACATAATGGTGCAAAGTATTGGCTGTGGCGCAGTTTCAGCAACATGGCGCAGGATGGCGCAGATAAATGCGTCTGGCGCAAAATGGCGCAGCCGTTCCACCCCTGACATTGGAGAAGGCCCGCATCCTCTTCCACGCCGCAGTTTTTTCAGTTCCTAGTAGCCTCTAGCTAGCGCAGCATGTATCATAAGCCATGCGCTCCATTGTTTGCATTTTTACATGATAATACACAAATAACAGCCTCAATTGAATATAAAGAGTATGTAGGTGTTGTTATTTTTGACTCATGCATCCACGACAGTGTATGATGCTGTATAAACAAAGATTGAATCATTTAGTAGGACATCAATTGAACTCATTGATTTTGTTTTCTAGTTTAAAGTTACCAGGACACTGATACCCATCAAAATCTAACGTTACAAAATACAAAATAATGCGTAAAAAGACTCACCTGTGCGAAAATTGGGCTTTTTTTATAACTATTAAATAATTAATAAATGATAAAATATTAAATTTTATAACATCGTAAAACGTGCCTCCCAGAACTCATATATTCCAGAGAAACAAAAGTATTGATGCAGAATGTCAACTAAAATAATATAAATGTAAAAGTATGCACTTCACAGCAACTAAAACCATGAAAAAAACATCTCACCAAAAGAACATTGATTTGTTTAACTCAAGAATTGAAATCAACAAAAAAACGGGAAAATTAGAAGAAATAAAAAAGAAGCGCTATGCAACAATCATAAATAGGCATCCAAGATTTTCTCCAAGATATATGCGAAACATTGAAGCCCACAAAGATGATTAGGCCAGGAGCAGTCGTGTACCTTGATGGCAAATGCTTTCAGGGTTATGATGAATGCCAGTTCCTGTGCTACCTGCAGAACCAAGATATGCCCCGCCGTTACTGTCGACCCGCTGGAACTGCCTGTTCCAAGGTAATGACACTTATAAATTACAAGCGGAGTTTCCCCATTGCCGCCGACAAGACAGGAATGTAGGGAAGTTTTTCGCTTGCCCCACCTCCAGTGCAAGCCTCCTACTATAGATAACAATTGGGAGTCTAGCAAGCTTTGAGCGTGGACAAGGATTCCGAGCTCGAAGGAAGGCAACCAACGTGTACTGGAGGCCGGACAGCCGAAAAAGATGCCCTACACTTCTTTTCTAGTAAGTGACCCTAACACAAAATGTGCTTGATGTGCAGAACAGCGGGAGCACCGGGACGTGCAATCTACTCGGCTACTGCATGACCGACGTCTGATGGAGCAGTCTAATAAATTGCGAGCCCGTTTCCCGCTTCAATAGTCTCCTTTCTCGAGAGAGTTGCAGCGAAAAAATGGCAGCAAAGCACCATTCATCAAATGCGTAAGAGACTCGACCCCAGAACTATGATGTACACCACATACATTACGAGTTGTGACAAGGGCTGCAGCATCGAAGCATGAAACACGCTGCCACGCGGCAATTTTTAGAAGACGCACGACACCATTCTGGTTAATCATACCCTTATGGCGTCATCGTCTTCAAATATCCTGAGCACGAGAATCGTAAATACCATTTGTAGAAAGTTTGCAACCAATTTCCTCGAGGCATTGATGGAATAGACTGACCTCACCAAGTGTTTCATGCATGTGCGCAGCCACACAGCTCGTGCTACCTCGTGCTCTGATCGCGCAGACCCATAGCGAATTGTTGCGCACGCAGAAAGACTGAAGTTCCCACAATGCATACCGACAATGGTGGCACAACAAAACTGGATGGTGAGGTCGGTCCATTCCAACGCGACTGAGAAAGGTATTTTTGTAGTCCGGTAGATCAGACTGCGAATTGGAGACCAACTAGTCTGCGACATGTTACATATTTATTCCTTAAAACAGTACTTTACATATGATAACAGACACTCATCAACAAGCCCAGGCTTGAGTGCCAACAGGTATTTGCTAAATTTGAAAAGTGGTAACTTACCAATTCTAGAAATTGTATGGGGGAATTTTCTCACCTATCTATCCAACAATGGCAGAGTAATTCCTGGAAACTGAGGAGCAGTCAATGATATCCAAGACTGTGAATAAATCGCACAGAAACAAGTAGCAAGACACGACATCCACCATCATTAGCTACATAAAATAACCTACACAAAACCTTTGTGGGCTGGACGACTTAGTATGTTACACTGTGAGCAAGAGCATTGGGCTTTTGGCCAGTCAACATGGCTGCAAGAAACAATTGACTAAGTGCCGGCAAAGCTGAAGGGCAAACATTTCTAAAGGTTACTCACAGAGAAATTGCAAGTTGTACTTTCTTTCTTACCAAAAATAACCTTGCTTTAACAATGGTTAGCAGGCATATTGCCCTATTTATACCCAGTTCGTCTGAAATGATATGAACATGGCTTTAATCTAGTAACCACATATACCCCATAATTACTGCAAATGACCAGCTGAAAAGTACCGACTAAAAGAGAATAATGTTTTGGACGTATACCTCACAATTTCATTTGGATCGAGACATCACAAATTTTGTACTAAAAGAATCCCAGATTCCAAACAAATTAAAAAAAAGCCTGAAAGATAACAAGAAAAAAAAAAAAAAAATTAAATATTTTAAGTTTGATGCATAGTACTTCCGGAATGCCTCAAAGATTGGATTTCGCCAGCTACGCAACAGAGGTGCCTAGAGGAACTCCTCTCTTTACATTGCTCCCACCTTGGCAACCATGACAGAAAATACAGAACATGACTCCTTGCCATGAAACACCATTTGAAATGCTTTCTTTATTGAATACTGTTTTCCAGGTTAGGGCAGTTGACGACTTAGCCTTAGCACTTCCTAAAACACAAAAAAAAAGGCAACCGCCATGGAAGAACGGCGACCCAGCATACAAGTACAAGGCAAAACCTACCTCCACCATTCACTAATACTGACCAGTCACGAATGCTGACACTCGCTTTTAGCTTTTAAGGAAACAGAAAAATGCCTGCATGCATAAATCTGTCTGTGGACAAACGTTTCTAACTGGATGAGACACTTTCCACATGCGGTGAGCTAGACTCTGGAGCATCAGAAAAATATGCCACCTGCTTGTATCCCACGAAATTGTAAAAAGCATTTAAAAGCAACATATCATTGGATACCCGAGGCTCAAGGGACTCCAATGTACAAAGTCTACCATCCCTCCACAGGTTTTCTGGCCAGATCAGCAATGTGCTTAAAAAAAAACAAATCCATCAGGACGCCCGCTTCTTTTACACCCAGAACACCGCTGCCAGTTTATCCTCGCCAAGGTTATGGTGTGAAACCTTCAGTGAGATGCGAAAATTTAACCAAATTTGTTTTCTTTGTGGAGTGTCGATTTTCCCGAACATCAAAATGTCCGTGTGAAATGGCCGCCTTGCAATTATCAGCTGGTGGAATGAAAAAATGAGCCACACAAGTCTAGTGCAATGGCCCACTCCAGTCTTGACTGTCTCCGGGATATAACAAATGTAACGAGCAAGGGAACCTACCAGTACTTTACACTTCTCTTCTGGACTGCTCAGTCAATGGGGGAAAGGACACCTAATATCATAGCTTGGTCCGTCGTCTATGTGGGCCCAACTGCTCAGAGCATACTGCTACACCTGCTTTGTATAACAGAACATGTCACAACCATAGTGGAAAGGTCTCGTGCGAGTAAGTACCGGAAGGCGAGTCTAGAGCGAATCCACAGAACCAACGGATCTGCATTGTGCCACAGATAAGACTGCTTTTCGATGCTCCGAATGCAAGATGTGGCATGCACTCAAAGAAATCCGACAACTTTCTGGGAACTAAATGAAATTAGAGAAATGGGCTGGCATTGAGACATGGTTTAGTAGCACTAGTGTGGTTCTGCAAACTGTCTTTTTAAAACAGAACGACGACTCGTGACCTGCTCAGTTGCTCATGTTTGTTTACAAACGAGTTTTCAAAGGTTGTTTCGAGATGCCGGACATGTCGTAACAACTCTCCATTTGTCCTATGCCCCAGACGTCGACGGGACGATATCTGTGAAGCGTCGTTAGATTTCGCTGCATTGCACATTAGCGGTGAACTGAAGGTAAGCTCTCCCACCTTCTAAAATAAAAAAAATAATCTAGAACTGCACCGACCATTATTCTAACTTTATTCAACATTCTCTCAATATATATATATATATAAAGGCAAGAAATGTGAAAAAATAAGATCCAAAGTGCACGCAGAGTGCAACCTGTAGGGTAGGCAGACAAACAGGGTGCATAAATGTCTCAGGCATCCCTTGCAAGAAAACAAATTGAGCTGCAAAACACCTAGCCTTGAAACTGGCCTTTGGAGGAGCAGTTGTCATCCAGTCAAAACTACTATTAGCGTGCTGTGTGACGGGGCAGGAAAATCTACTGGCATGTAGAAAGCAATTGTCAGGATCAAACTGGGGAAAACAACGAGTGAAAAGAAAAAAAATGGTGGAGGATACATTCTGCAACCAAATTTTCGGATACTTGGTAGGCTGGGCCAGTTTCAAAATTGTGAAAACTAAAGCACGGCCACTTTTCTAGACACGGACTTGTGCTCAACGATATACGTTTAGCATCTAGCAACACCACCAGTCATACGCAATACTAGAGCTACAAAAGAGTGAACGAAAGAGGTAGCCACCACAAGGAGTGGCAGTAGCAGAAAGTAAGTTTACAGCGAAACAAAGTGCTTCGGCAGCAAAACAGAAGAAAGACACGCATACGGCGAAACTCCCAATCAGACGAGGCTCTAAAGCTACGGCGCATCTTTCGAACCGACGGAATTTTGATGCACTGTTTCATACTACGCTTCAACAGTAAACCCCTCTGAGCAAAGCAGATCTGATTCTGTTCAGAAAAAGTTCTAAACAAGCATGGGCAGTCTAAGATATCCAGACATCAAAAATTCATAATACATAACATATGCAATCCAAAACATACATTCCCTCCCTCTTTGCAGCGAATTCGCTCGCCCAATCGGAGTGCCGAGGAGGAAACCCAGCACAAATTTTTTTGTGTTCGGATGCATAAGGATCTAGATTCTTCCAGGGTCTCGATTTGAACAACAGTAAGAACCCATCTACTATAATCTGTATCGCCTTACGACGGACGGCAGAGGACGCCACGAGCCATTGCAGTCGTTCGAATGCCGTGGGAGTGTCATGTAACCTTCGGGAGGGACGCAGACACGCCCGGGACGCGTAGTCACACCGATACGTTGTGCTGGATTGACTTGTAGTGTCCACTGTGGTCCGTTGTAACATGAAATGAAGTTTAGAGCATTTCTGGGGGAAGACTAAAAAAAAGAAAAAGGAAGAAGAGGCAACAGCGAGGCTATGACAGAGCAGAAGAGAGAAGGACGGGAAAGGAGGTGTGCTCAGGCCGTCCTGAGAATCAGGTGCACGCCGGAGTCTGTGAAAACGGGCTCCGAGAGCTCGCCAACGTTGAGCGCGAAGGCGGCCTCCTCGAAGGGTTTCTGCATTGCGCCCCGGCCGAAGGTGCCCAGGTCACCCTTGTTCTTGGCCGAGCTGCAATCGCTGAACTGCGTTGCCAGCTCCTCGAAGGTGGCCTTGCCCGACGCTATCTGCTCCCTGTAGCCTGCAGGGTGTCGCCCGAGTGGGGCCTGCGTCACTTCGCTTCGCTCGACGAAGGGGCGCCCGGTGCAAGCTTTCTCCTAAAAGTTGGAATCTTAGCTTGCCAGTAGGCTTAATATGGTGCTTGCCAATCTCCAGATGTTTTTGTGCAAGTACTAACTACTTTGTGTTCCACAGAAAAAAATAAAAAAAAAAACTCGTTCCACCATTTTCCCCCAGTGTCACAGGACAATCAGCCCCTGTGATCTACAAAATAATTAATCAAAATTACGAGAGAAAAGAAGTTAATTTATCAAAATTAAAGAGAAATACAAAATTTTCTCCAAAAACACTATTTTAGCATTGACAAATTCACAGCTCTGCATAAAATCTTCACAGCCCAGCTTGTTTGTCACTTCGAAATGCATGCAAAGATGCGCATGACTGCTGGAAATGGCACGAGTCAAAAGCCCTTTCGTGGAATGGCTCATAAGGAGTATTTGCACTACATGCCTAATCAATTCAATCCTAACGTTGTGATCTCGGTGTGCACATGAAAGTGTATGGAAGCACATTTTAGACTGCCGTACATGCTGTCTGCAACACAGTGTTTTTGCCATCAGTTTGTTGTTTGTGTTTTTTGTGTTAGAGCGCATATGCCGGTAGTCTGTGTGCTCGTATCAACGTCTATGCAGGCGATTGAGTGAGCATGTGCGTGGACAAGGACAGCTCTCTGCAGATGTGCTATTGCGAGAAATTTTGTAGTTGTAAATGGCCAAACGTGGTTGCATGCAGTCAGAAAACTGAGTTCAAATCTCAATGAGGTGCCAGAGGTAGAGTTAATTGGAATAAAGGGTGACCCTCTGCATGAAACAAGTACAATCACACGTCAGCTGTACGCACCATCAGTCATTCCCATTTGCAATCATAAGATAAAAAGGAGAAATACCAAGTATGAATTGCATTTAGAGAACATACATTTCGTAAATGCAATCGACTTGAATATCTGCTCCCATAAATAGGTGAGCCTTGAAAAGAAGATCCAAGTCAGGAATGCTATGCTTGGGATCCATGAAGTGCACCTTCTAACATCTATGCATTGCAAAATCTAGGTATCATCCTATCACTTCGATAGCATATCTGCAAGTTATAAATATACAAGGCTAATTATGAGTATAGTGCACAAGCGATCTCAGATACTGGTAGCTCTAGAAAACAGAGTGCTTCGAGTCTGTCGACGTAGCTTGGCCAATACTTTTGTATTTTTCTTTAGCTCACTGTGGCCTGAAGTTTGGCCCGAAACAAAATTTACGCAGGTTGTCATCATCAACTGCTTATTTTCAAACCAACCGTGGCAGAGTTAACCTCACACAGTACATGCTGCAAATTGTGGTTTTACCCAACCGATGATGGCTGAAGGCGGTATGTCCTCCTTTGATAAAGTGCTTCACGCTGAGTGAATCGCCCCCTGATGACGTTCTTGTTGCCACTCAGCAGATCGTTTTTGATGTTCGTCAGCTCGCTAAAGAGCACATTTCTAGGGGAACAGAGAGCTTTCGTCTTGCCTTCTATCTCATGCTCACTGCAGTGTTTTCAAGGACGGCAATACTTGGTTCCAGTTGACCTTTTTCACTTTTTAGAGTCCAAAAATCTCGAGGGTCACAACTTGGCAAGGGAAGAACCAGATGTGGCTTGCAATTTTCTGTTAGCCAACCTCTGGAACATAGTGCAAACTATGCTGCGATAAGCTTCTATGATGCTCTTGCAGGCACTTGAGGTACTGATATTAGAAAAAAAAAGTCATGTATAATGAAGTTTTTTTTTTTGTAAATTTTCGAAAACTGATTTTATTATGTAGAGTGTTTGTTTTGTTAGGCCCACTTTAGATGGGGCAGCTGACAAGTCATTGGCAGCTACAACATGAATTGCTCGGATTGATCCGGATTGAAGCCGACTCCGTTGCTGCAAATGGGAAGAGCCCGACATGGCTGCAACCAATCAGGAATGAAACAGTTCTATTTGATGCTCCGTAGTGGTGATTTTATTACCCTTTACATACCAGCAAACTATACAATGTTGCTGGACAATGAGGACCTGTTAACAACTACTTGATGATACTAAAACAGGGTATGACTTTGTTCTGGTTTACTATGGATCATTCTCACTGTCTAACGACTTCTAAGGTAAGCTAGTAGTCAAAGTGTTATTTAAGAATAGTCAAAATATGCAGATGAAGGAGTCACACTAACCGAACGAGAATAAAGGCAGCCGCCGAAAGACAAAATGTGCCGGAGCCGCAATTCAAATACCAGGTCTCCTCATTACTGGTGAAGTATGCTGACCACTACACCACCTTACCTTGTCTTTCCGTGTTTTCGGTCTGCCTTACGAATGCACCGCAACAAAATGTATCAGATCGGAGGTGTTCTGGAGCCATGTGCTGCCACGTGGAACCGATACCATTTAGAATAATTGAGGCCCGCGAACAGCCTCAATTATCTCCATGGAACATCGCCACACTAGCACGATGTCAACTTGGCGATTTAGTCAGAGCCCGACGTTGACTTGTGCTCCGAGGCGTCGATTAGACACAAGGCCCAGCCGAACGCCGATGCAGTACTCGAGTTCAAATCTGCGCCTGCTCTCCATCTCACTGTGATGACCTCAATGCTTTACTGCAAGGGCTTCAATTATTGTATAACCACTGACATGGTTAGAATGGCAGGGATGTCCTACAGTTGTCCGGCTTCTAGCGCCAGTTTCCTAGCCTCAATGATGCTTGGGCGTCTTGCAAGCCCGGAGCGCGCACGTGATGCAAAAGTTTGATGGAAGGCAATGAGCCAGTGCTGGGGCATTGGAAGGAGATGCCCTTGTGTTCTAGTCTTTTTAGTGACCATAGGTAGCATCAACGGAACACGGTATAACCGTTCCTGGCACCGGGCATACACTTCAGAGGCCCTCCCGCCGTCTGCCCCGTCCACTCACCCTTGATGATGTCGAGGGCCTCCTCCTTGGAGCGGGTGATCTTCTCCTCCCTCCAGGAGGAGGGCCTCCGGGAGTCCCGGTGCTTGACTAGCAGGTGCGAGCACCACACTTGGCCCTTGGCCGCCGCCATCGGGATGTCCGTGGCGGGCTCCGTTGGCACGTCCCACTGGCTCTCCTTGGTCAGCACGTTCAGATAGTAGTGCTCCCCTGTGGGCAGACCAGCTTCAGCGCTCCAGCCTCCGGGTCTTACGAGCGGTTTGCACAGTCGCGTTTGGATGTGATTGAGTGCGCCACGCTCGCATGAGCCCATTAGATAACGCCAGTCGCCTACGATGACTGGCGCCATCTATTGGACAGCCTTAGAAAACTTCCAGTTGTCGTATGCAGCGGTCAAAGGCACGAATACCAGCATTGAACGAGCACCCACCCTGGAGGCGTTCCAGGAGAGCGAAGCACACGTTGAGAGTGTCTCAAGGTCTCCACTTTCTCGCCGGAACAGAAAAGAATGACAAACGTTGGTGCAACCTCCCTTGCCTTTGCAAATGACAGCCATGGGCTGCCCGAGTTGCTCATTCCTCAGACGGCACATGCACGTGTGGAGCGGGACCGGCTACCGACGGCCCCCCTACCAGAACAGATGAATGGCACTGATGCTGCCCTTGCCACAACTGCCATGGAAGACAGAAGCACATGGGATGTTCTGTTTGTGTGCTCACTCCTGAGGCGATGCTTCAGAGGGGAGCCGTGATGTGCCATCTGCATCCAGCTGGTTGGCACTCGCACGATGTCCGCATAATTAATGACTGTACGCATTAAAAAATTGAGGGACAGTCCTAAGAAAGTTTGCAAAGGAGCACATTTGTTGCCCAGCCTGCCTCTTGACCTGCCAGCGTTTTTTTTAATGGAAATCTTCAGCCAAGTATAAACTTGGATGCAAGTTGGCTTGCACGCAGGCCTCACAGGCCCAGCACTTCAGAGTACAAATCGCAGAATTCCCATATGTGGGCCAAAGCTACTCAATGAAATGGCCGACAGAGTTTGCTTATTCTAGCACACCTTCGAAAACTCCCATTTGTCAAAAGAGGTGGAGTGCAATGAAAATAGTCTGGTTTTACTTCATAGATTGCTGTAGCATAGTCCATCATTTGGTTGACTGGTCAGAAGGCTAAGGACTTTGAGCAGAAAGAACATGATTTTTTTGTAGTGTGTCCTTGACAACGTCTAGCAGCATTGAGAATGTATCTAAATAAACAATACTGCTTTTTCCTTTCAAACATATTTGGAATACACACCGAGTATGTTGCAGCCCGATACCATACTGTCTCCAGCAAAGTTTGCAGAGGTTTGGCACAAAACTTGCACTGCCTAACAACAAAAAAAACACCGTGGCAATTTTAAAATGTAGTGTCCCTGAACTGAAAAGCTGCAGCAAGTGAGCAAATTTCTCGAAAGCTGTCCAGGCTACTATACTATAGTTTCTTCTGGACTCAAATCCACTAGCGTGATCCAGTGTTAAAATATGTATTTTTTTATTCCAAAATGCAGATTCCACTCTCATACAGTGTAGGAAATGGCCAGGAACATCTCAAGTGTTTCGTTTTCTTAGGCTGTGCTCCCGTTAACAAATTCTTAAGATTGGAGAACGATCGCTCCACTTTCACAGGGACAAGTGGCAAAAACCCAAGGGCTCGTTTGGCATCCAAGTTGTAAATGCCATTTGGAGTTTTTGGCGAAAATACCCACTCTATGTCGGAGTTTTTCTCAAACAACTTACAAAGTTTGTCTTTCATAGAGCCAACCAACAACCAGCCATAACAGAACAATTGGCGCACGCACAACTCTTTCTGGGCCAGACTTGTCGACAGCAGCCATTAGGAGCATGCGCAGCACTATTGGTCGGTGATGTAGTATATCCAGCGCTTTAGGAGGCAGCCGGCTCATATAAGGCAGCACATGTGGCTTGCACGCCATTGGCAAAAGAATGCCACAGTGGCGCCTTGCAGGTGCCAAAATATTAGCAATAGGTGAATGGCATTGTATACAGGCATTTCAGTTAAGTAACTGGACACTTACTGTAAAATCAGGACAATATGCAGAGTGCAAGTTCATCTGCTTCTTGCACTGATAGGGGTTGCAATGATGTCGAAACGCCAAGCTCTCATAGGCCAACTGAAAAAAATAGTGGGTAGACCCTTGAGGTCTACCCACTATCCTCTCAATCAAAGCCAATCAGAGCTCAGCAGCATTCCGACGTCACCGCAACTCCTGCACAAGAAGCAAATGACTTGCTCTCCGCATTGCCCCTTTCAGGACGCTCAATGTAAAATCGGGACACTTTGGGACAACAAAGTTGGTGAAAACCAAATAGAAATTGCTTGATAGATGAGTACTGACACTGTTATTGGGACACATTTTCAAGATGGGGTCATGTCTCGGAAATGCCAGCTCTACCTATCACCCCAATGCTATAGGAACTTTGAAATATTAGGAAGAGATACGATGTGGAGAGCTCATGCCATTTGGGTCACCCTTTGGTGTGTTTATCACTGGGAAGCGCGTTCACCCCCCCCCCCCCCCCCTGCATTTACGTCGTTTCGTGGCTACAGTCCGCGGCTACTCATTACAAAAATATTAACCCACTTGGCCCCCGGTACACGCCGTCCAGCCAGCAACCCATAGCCCCACTGTCCCTCATTGTACCTACGGAAAGGGAGTCCCATAGCATTTAATGCAGCAATGCTTTGTTGACTTTTTTTTTGATAATTGTAGAAAAGAAATGTGCAAGTACCGCCAAATGTTTCACAAAAAAAAAAGCAGTATGCCCACTCTCTGATCGAACCTGGGTCCGCTGCATGTGAAGCGGACACCTCTCCACCAAACTATGCTACAGCTATTCGTTTTGACAATTCCCTTTATACAAGACCCAAGAAGTTTTGCGTCGTGTATATGCACTAACACAGTGTTTACAAACAAGCCCGCTTTGCCCACACCAGCTGTGGGCACTGCACGTGCGCAGAATTCTAATTCGGGAGGAGTGAAGCATCTGCGCATGCGCAGTACCGACAGCAGCGTCACCGCAGTGGCGCGACATCAGTGAGTTGAGTTGGTCTATAGCAACATTACTAGATTAGCTCCGTTACGGAACTGCTCATAGATGCTGTTAGCACGAACAGTACAGCCATCACTCGCCACGACTCGCCTCCCCTCGCGCCAGACGGCTGCTTTGGTAACTGCAGTGTATTCTATGGAACACATACGTTTTGGAACACAGCATCTAAATGGTGTTTCAGCACTGCAGTATGGAATGCACAGTTACGAAACAAAAATCTAGATGGCGCTTCGAACGACGGGAAACCAGAGCGGGAGGAGAACTGAAGTGAGTGAGGAGGGTACCCTCCTCCGCGGGAGTTCCACAACTGAGGTAATCCGGGGTGCTATGTTGCGCTGTTTGGACTCCCACGGCGACTAGGGAGAAGCAAGTGACATCAAGAACGCAGCAAACGCAGATTGGATGTTGATTGGTGAGAGTCACTGATGACGAATTTCCTCAGAAGAAAACAAAGCTCACTTTTTCTTTGTTTTCTTCTGTGCAAATTCGTCATCAGCGACTCGCACCAATCAACATCCAATCTGCGTTTGCTGCGTTGTTGACGTCACTTCCTTCTCCCTAGTCGCCGTGGGAGTCCAAAACGTGCAACATAGGGCCCCTGAATACACAGAAAGAATAAAACACATGAAGGACGAACACAGACGCACACAGTTCTTTCAATGAGCAACGAACATTTATGAAATGCCCATGGCTACAGACCAGGCCCCTCGTCTGTAGTCATTTCCGGTCGAGATGCACGACGTCGTGCGTATAGCTTTACTTTATTAGAAAAACGAACAGCTGTGCACTCAACGAAGGCAAATTAAACGCGGAGCGCGCCCTTCTACGACACTGCCCGGTTAGAGCACTAGTTCAAGTAGGAGACTGCTCAGAGACGAGATGAGGAAACCCGGAGAGCGTCGCCGTTTCTGTAAATTGTTGGTGCTCGCACACAAGGTACAAGAAACAGTGACCAAAGCAAATGCTGCTTCCTTTCTTTTTTCCCTCTCTCTCCCTCTATACCTGTTATTCTAGTGCCTTATTTATTCGCAAAATACTTCCTTAGAGCTATTGACGAAAAAACAAACCGGGTCGTCGCAATCCTCAAAAATCTGATACTGGACTCAACAGGTGTTAAAATATATAGCACCAAAACATAAAAAAATATACATCGAGTTACAAAATGCCACGTAGGGGCGAAGCACAGCACGAGTTGCTAGCTCGGACCGAACTTCGTAAACATTGGGAAGAAATCAACGTTGGAAGAAACTGTAGACGAGAAAACTAGGCTTAGCAGTTTTAGAAACCGGGGCATAAAGCGGTTAGTGAACCTCGCGCTTAGGCGAGGATTTATTGCTGATGTTATACGCGTGTTTTAAAAATATTGTACGCGTCGAAGGATAGAAAAATGAGGCACCTGTGGAACGGCTCAGCCGTTTTTCCCAGCCTTTCGGTAAATCGCCCGCCATTCTGAAAATCCAAAATGGAAACGTTCGTCCAATCGCAGCGGCGGCGGCGGTAGAGAGCGGTACTAACTGCAACAGGAAATTATGACATTCCGATTCGGCACTCCAAAATAAACAAGCAAGGGTGAAAAAAAAAAAAAAAAAAAAAAAAAACAATATGCAGCTGTATATTGGTCAAGCGATCCAACTTTCATATCCAGAAATGCATTTTATGAGAAACGGTAATGCTGGTAATGCGTTTTCGCCTTTTCGCACCGCCGAGCCGGCCGAACCGGCGTGCCTTTTCGAAGCGTCGCCGCGTCGCCGCATCGCAGCGTTATTCAACATGACGAGATAAAACAGCGCAAAAAGGTACAAAAGGAAGAAACTTCCTACCTTTTTGCGCTGTTTTATCTCATCGTGTTTAACAACTACCAACTAGCCTCGTCGTCCGCTCCTACCTCGTTTAGCGTCATGTAGGGTGATGTCAACGAACTTGGTGCAGTAGAAATAAGAAATGCAGTGGTAATTTGTATCACCATCTGCCCTGTTATGAAATGCCCATTATTTTTAGTTTTTCGAGGAAATGAAATCGTATAGAAAATATATTGCATGTAAAACTCGTTCGTTAGTTTGTAAAGGCCAACCTTTATTTCAGTACATTTAATTGTTCTGAAGCAAAAGGCATGCAATGAACCTTTTCCGAGAAGTGTTCTGCGCACGCGCGAACGCCCGATGCCAAGCGGCGGAAGTCGGAACGAAAAATCGAGGAAATTCGGAAGGAGGCTGTATATCAGCGAGTAGAACACGTAACTGCAGCATATATATAATTGTGTTACACAAAAAAAGAATGTCGACGGAAAGGAAAACACAACGTTTGGGTGGACGCCACGGATGCCCCTCTTTAAAGTCACGTTGGGCAGGCGCCGCTGCTCAGAGAGCGAAGAAACTGGTAGCGTAGCCCCCATTATCGATTGGTAGCGCAGGTAGGTCACTTCCTCGATTTTTAGTTCGTGCAGCCACCGCCTGGTGCCGTCGGTATGTGGAAAAGGTCCATTAGGTAAAAGGACAGAAGCTCACCAGACAAAGGCACACAGGACAAATACACCACAAGGCTTGCTCTTAGTCACACAAAAGGATAAAAGCTAACAAAGCCAACTACTGTGGTATGCCCAAACATCTGCAGGATAGAGATTTATTCTTCAGCATATTATTTGTTAATAAGTTTCTGTATCTCTGTGCTTCGGATGGTGGAAAGTAGAGATACTAGCCAATCTGCAACTAATCTCTTCAGATGTTGCGAATTTCAACAGAATGCTCGCAATGCCAATGTGGGCATTGAACTGTTTCAGAGATGAGGCGACGAGAAAGGCTCAAAGGGGATTTTCCTCCCCTTCCCCCAAACTGTTTAGTATCCTCCGTTTTACCTTACAATGAATTGCAGCGGATGCCATAAGCCAGGGGTTCTCAAACTTGGTTCAACGAGCTGGTCTCATGGGTTCCGCGAACACCCAAATTGCAACCCCCTTCCCCTCCTCCCCACCCCCATGCCGCAGGCTGCGTGGCAGGACCATGCAAAGCGCCTTCATCTCACTTTGTACTGACATCGCGATTGATATGGTGGGGATATATGGGAAGCAACACAAGCAAAATTGCCTACAATGGTGCATCTGTTGCCTCTCGGTCGGCAAATATGAAGGGGAGAGGGGGGGGGGGGTTCCGCAGCAGTTTTTGAGGCTTGCTGGGGTTCCGTGAGGCCAAAAAGTTTGGAACCCCTGCCATAAGCCATTCCAGCACTCTGAAGATATCACATGACCATGCACACAGCACATAACTAGTGTGCCCCTGCCATAGGTCACATGACACTCGCATGGCATTGGATTGGCTTCAATATCTTGCTGCATCCTGTGCGGCCCATCGCAAGGATAAATGAAGTATAGAAATATCTGAAAAGAAGTGGGAATGATTCGCCCCCCTCGTTTCAATGCACCACCTTCATTAAAGTGCCAAGGGCAGCACATAAAATGCATATGACATGCCACAGAGCACACCAAGTATGGTAACCAGCTCGCTCAGAACAGGTACGGTGCGGCGATACACAATTTTCAAGAAAAGCAGTCGACTATGCTCGCCCCTGCTTTTTTTTTTTTTCTAAAGAAAGCAAATTGATTACCAGAGAGCATTAAACACCAACCGCCTCTCTATTCAGCAGCCGCTGCTACGCAAGATATTGCTTCTGAGTGAGCAATCTTTTATAATTCTGCAGAGCACCAAGCAGCTGTCATCGTTACCACCCACAAAAACAAAACAACTGCAATGCTTCATAAAGTTTAAAAGTATTAAATATTTTATATATCTAGACTGACGAGCGTGTTGGTCGAGCTGGGGAACGCCGAAAGAACAAGACATGGGCGGGACAAGGGACAACATACGCTTTCTTTAAGATTCTGTAATTAAGACTTGAAATACACAGGAAAAACCTGAACTTAGTATTTCAAAGTCTATGAAGACCAACAACTTCATTTTGCAAGCTTTTCAGTTGGTACCGTAACAAAAAGTGGTGCACTTTTGTCATGGCTAGCCTTTGTCCTGGATTTTTCAATGGTATGTCACAACACTGCCTCGGCATGTTTCAAGGAAACATATGTTGAATTGTTGGGTCAATAACATTGGTTAAATGGCTCAATAAATGGCATTCAAAGTTATTTCCTGAAGATGATAAGCACACCTCCACTGTGGCCACTGTCATTTTACCAGGTTACACCCCACGAAATTATCAGTTCGTGAAATGCTCTCGCAAGGGCTACCAAACAGAGACAGTGAAATAATGATTCCGCGTGAAAGGGCAGGTATTTTTAATAACAGCACAACTTTCATCGAAACTAGAATGGGATTGAAGACAATTTCATACGCAAGCATACATCTCAATAGCTTCAAAATGTTTCAACGAAGTCAGCATCTCCAAATCTTACGCTTCACAATGCACGGCAGAAGCATCGGGGAGGGGGGTCTGACATGCGGCAAGATGAATAGATTTGCTTCATGTTACTTGTGACACAACGCTAGCTCAATCGTCTCAGGGTTCTCAGTGCTGTACACAGAAGCATCACACATAACTGGGGCACACGAATGTGACGAGACAATAATCGAAAAAATATCAAACAATTAAGTGTCAGACACTTAAAAGAAACAAAAAAAACTATATGCAGTTTTTTTTTTTTTTTTTTAGACAGTTATTAGTTACATATTTCCATTCAACTACAGAAAGCCAAATAAAACTTTGGCTTTGCCATATACGTCATTTTAAATTTGGCTGGAATAAAACCTTGGAGTCGCACCGCACAACGTTACTGCAATAAAACAAATTCTTTCCCACACCTTTAAATCATGGCAATCTCAATCTTCAGTGATGAGAAGTCGCTATCTTCTATCTCTCAGTTACGCTGAATGCATGCTCATGTCGGTGAAACGGGGAAAGGAGCATGCCTGACCACGGCACAATAAATGCTCTACATAATCCGTACATGCGAAGCACACTTGTCACTCAGCGGTCACGCTGGAGAGAATTTGGAAAAAAAGTACCATGGGGGTCCGCACAAGATAACTCTTGGTAAGGGATGCAACCAACATTAAGTCTATCGCATCTCGAACATTGTCTTTGCTGAAACGTTTAGAGAGCATGTTTCAAACAACAGCGTGGTCCAGATGAAACTTGGAAGTGAGCCAACATTGTGCCGGCCAGTGGGAATGCGGTCAAGCTTTACAAGCGTGAATTCAAGAGTCAACCAATTTCATTGCAGACCGGTAGAACTTGGCAACAGTTTAGAACCTTTAGTTCTGCTAAAGGGTTTGGACATGGCAAGGCAATGACCTGCAAGATGCTGCTTGTAGTACGAGGATAAGTAATATCTTGAAATCAATGGCTGTTGATAAGGGCTCCTTTTATGTCAGAACAGGAAAGATGAATATAGATTCTGGTCATCAGCGACACATTTTGTGGTCATGTTGATTCTGGTGGTTCCTTTGCACGGAGCTCAGTTATACAACACCCTCACTTGCTTGTCGTAATGTGACAGACTTGATGCAAATAATTCAACACAAGCATTAACTGGGATAAAAATGAACTTCGAGACAGAAAGGCAATACTGCATTAAGAAAAACTACCTTTGGCAGATGTAAGTAGGACGACAATATAATTCTTTCTCGGCAAGATTCTAAACAGTCTGGCAATTTCATGTCACGACTCGCACTGCACGATGAACAAAAGTGAGCAGGCGTAGCAACATCTTTTTTAAAGTCACACCAACAAACAACAGATCTAGATCCATGCTTATCTGTCCACAAATCCATATGAACTGCTTGCATGCAAAATTAGTTAAAATACAAGATGGAAATGGCACATGCAATCCAACACACTTTCTGTCAAGGGTCTTGCATTTTGCCAAATACACACTTAAAAACAAAATGCCTGTCCCAAAGGCTACATTACTAAGCTACGTAACCATCCAGTTTTGCACATTCCAAGTCACCTGTGTATCCAGTTATTGCTAGAGTCATAACCTGGATTTCTCTGAAACAACTTGGTCGTAATTCAAAATTTGAAAAATCAATGTTTTGCTGGCCAGTTTTTTTCAATTTTGAAAATGTCGCCTTCTGCCAAAACTGATAACCTACCAGAACATAAAACAACTATCACTTAATGTTCAATTGCTGCAAAATATGTGTTCTGCCCTGTAACAAGTTGATCAAGATATGCAATTGATCTGTAGGTTGTAGGTTTATGGAACTTCTAACTTTTCATAAATACAATTGGGCACCCAAATGTTGCACTCCCTTTTTGAAACACCAAATGTAATGGCTACATTTGAATAAAATTTGGCAGCGACCCATAAGAAATCAAACTTGGTAAGCTCTCCTATCTATCACAAGAATCAAATCTGTTCATTTCAGCAGGTTGGCCCCAACAGAATGCGTTGAAACTTGACTCTTCTGTACATTCATCCAAGACCATTTTATAACCATACAAATAAATAAAAACTACTAAATGAATCTCCAAATTCCTGTTAAAACACTGTGAATAAAGAGGTATAAATTTGTTACAGTAGACATATTTTTCTAAAAGAAATATATTTTTCATAATGACTGTATTGGCAAAGTGATGGAGTTACACTTTGGAAATATGTGACAGAAGCTGAGAAAACTTGATTGAGCATAGAGAAATCATCCTAAACTGTAATACTGGAACGAAACCGGAACCGACTTAAGCCACCATAGAGAAACAAAGTGACGGCCATTCCAAACTACCGTAAAATCCCGAGAGATACCCCACCCTTGAAAGATAGCCCACCCTTATGTTTGCCTTCATTCGCTATATTTTCTCCAAAAGATAGCCCAATTCTAGCAATAGTAGTGTTGAAATCAATAATGGCCTCGTCGTAAATGCGGCAAATAAGCTATGGCTGGATATAAGCGAACGTGGCTGACTGGGAGCTATAGCGTTCTTTCCTTCATTGCCCCTCTCCACGATAACAAGCTTGGAAGGGACAAACTACCTAAAAATGGTGTTTTTTAAACTTTTCTTGATTGCACACCGAAAGATAGCCCCCTCCATATTTTCACCCGATTTGCACTTGATTTTAGGTGGGCCATCTCCCGGGATATTATGGTGGTTGTGCCTGGATTGAATATAGGAAAAAAGAATCACAAATTCACTATCTAAATGAGCTCTATTCTGTTAAATAAAAATTGATGTTTGTCGCCAAGTAAACAAAAAGCAGGTGCCTCAATTAAGCAGGCAAAACACAGTCTCAAAGCAACAGCTCCACAATGATTGACATGTCCCAAACTGCTTGCCCATACCAAACTTGTTGACAAAATGAAGCACAGACTGTAACTTGGGAGTTTGTTTCCGGGAAAAATTTAGCAGCATACAGTGACAAGATTCGCTTTAGGGAAGATTTTTCCTCTCCATCAATGCCTCACTCAGTAGACAATTACTCTAAAGTTTAGCTGTACATAAGAGCACCAGATTACTTAGCCCACCTAAACTTTGTACCCTTCATTATGACACAGAAGGCAAGCACAATGTATCACGCACAATCCACAAGCAGCGTTCCATGCTTAAAAAAAGAGTAGAATGAATAAAGCATACTAATTTTGAGAAAAAAAAGGTCCTCCTTTGCCGAATAAAAACACTGCACAATCTGCGACGTCAATCAGCATACCGTTCATTACCGTCTTGTCCTACCGGAGACGCGCAAGGCGTTTCCCGCCCTAAAAGTGCCAGGGCATGTGCCCATTATTTTCTCTCCTACGCAATTCCCCCGCAAAGATCCCCATTCTAGCGAGCCCACGATTTCGTTAAGCAGGACCACTACGGGCTTCACACATGTTGAGAGGGTACGGCTAATCGAGAAAGCGAAAGGAGGAAAAAAAAAAAGACCCACCAAAGAAATACACCTACAACAAACAAGAACAGAAGCATCACGTCTTCGAGCGCTTGGCTTCCAATCGTACACGACGATGTGCTCATCACTTGTCGAGAAAGTGTCAGTGCACGGGCGTCCTCTTTCAGGGACGACGAAGGGGAGGGGGAAAGAAAGCGTGGCCAAATCACAACGTGGCCACCTCTCCTAGCGATGCCTTAATGATCTCGCCGAACGCGCTGTCAGTCGTTGCTGTTGACGACGACCCCTCCTCCTCCTCAGCGCCGTTCTCCTCCGACGCTGCGTTGCCGCTGTCCCCCTGGTTGGCCGCCGCAATGAGTCCGTCCGTTGCGCAGTCCCCGCACCCCACAAACACCGGGTCCACGGGCACGACCCCACGCGTTGCCAGCGCCGTGCCAGCGCTCCCTTTGGACACCGCGCAGCTCAGGTCCGTGTAGTCGCGGTGCGGAGGCGGCCTCCCATTGCGCGCCGCCGGCTCGCCCTCTTCCTCCTCGGTCGTGGAGTAGTCGGAGTTCTCGGAGCACGACGTGTCCTCCTCCTCCTCCTCGTCCTCTTCGTCGTCTTCTTCCGAGCTGTACTGGCAGGCGGACGCTATGCCGGGCGGAAGCGCCCCTCCGTTGTAGTAGAGCAGGCGCCGGGGGTCGAGGCAGTGGAAGCCCGGTCCAGCCTGGGAGGCCAGCCCGGCAAGCGCCAGGTCCGGCCGGTCCAGCCCCTGCTGCTGCTGCTTCTCGATCTCGAGGCGCATCAGGGTGTGCAGGAAGTGGGCGCGCACCCGAACCGGGTTGAACTCGGTGCGGCCCGACGCGTTGGCACAGCCCTCCTGGGTGCAGCCGCACGGGAATGACATGCGGTCCACCTGCAGAGGAAGAGAGGGCAGGGCATGCCTACTGTCTTGGCAACAGACACGCATATGGTCTGTTTCACTTCATGTGCGAGCGAAGCAGAGGCTATGAGCATGAGCGTGTTGCCCCGGATGATGCTTGCATTACACCGGTCGACGTGCTTGAAAGGGGTGCTGAAGGTCCAGAGCTCACTCTTGTAGCTTTTGCTATGCTTTTTGCTTATAGCAAAACAGAGTGCAGGGCACCCCTTATCTCATATGTCGGTAATGACTGTGGCCGCGCACTGCAAATAGTGTGCTTCAACTTCTGAGCAGGTTCGGAGCGAATAGTGGTTTTGGCTAAGCATTTTAGAATCGAATATCATATACTAGTTCTTCCAGTGTTGGAAAGTACTTTAATTACATTGTACTTAAAGTACCACTTTAAGTAGTTTTGGAAAACTTGTACTTTACTTGAATTACATTCTTTGAGTATGTACTTGTACTTTACTTAAAGTATTTTTTCTGGTACTTTCTGAGCGAAGTACAACTCCCGACTTCAAGCATACTTTCCAAATTTTGTGAAACTTTTTTTCTATACTAGCGGGGTGTAAGGCAGCTCCCTATATAGACACAGTGGTAGACAAAGGGCACAAAAAAGTGCCTTTCGGGCAAGCTGAGATTACTCTTATTTTCGGCATCCACAGCCCAATCTTTTTTCTATTAGGGTGCAGATTTATGTCTTGTCACCAAATCGGCAGAAAATCTCCAAGCTGCTGGCTGCCTGTGAAGCGAGCTTCCACAGGAGTCGTTTCTTTTGTCATTCTCAGACGGCAATAACTATACTCCCTATGTTGTGTAAAGCGCTGAGAAAGGCACTGGAATGAGTGCATTGATCTGGGCAGTGCCTCCATGCACTCGGTGAAATTAAGCTCTTTCAAGGACTATGCGCTGGGATCCTTGGTTTTCCCGGTACTATAGTACACAACTTCTGAGGTCGAGTATGAGAGTTGACCAACCTCCAACAAAAATAAGGCGTGTCGGAATCATGTGAAAACCTTCTGACGTCTTTCGAGACGTCATCCAGCCATTTCTCTGAGTGAAGTAATGGCAGGGATAAGAGACACAAATAAGTGCCTTATAAGTTGATTAGGTTAAGTAGCTCATCAGCGAGAGTAAAATAACTATTCTCTGAACACTTGACTTTATTCAATATTTGCCATCATTTCCAAAATTAAACTGATGCACTTCCAATTACTCTTGAGACCGGTTATAACGAAGTTGGTTATAACGAAATAGCTGTTAAAGCAAAGCGATCACGATTCCCCTTTTCCTTTTGCACATCGTTAACCAAAGTTGGTTATAACAAAATAGCGGATATAGCCAAGAGATTTCCGATTTCTGTTTTCCTTTGACTTTGTTATAACCAGTTTCGACAATACACCAAAAAAGACATAAAAGATAAAAAAAAAAAAGATGTTTACAATTCTTTGTAATGCGAAATTAGAGTGCAGCTCTTGAGGAGGAGGAGTGGAGGGTGCGGAGTGGAGAGTATTCTTCTCCGCCTCCTTCACGTCCATATCCTTTCCTCCTGCCCTGTTCCTCCTTTCCTCCTCCTCCCGTTAAATTCCCTTCTAAATTTAGCGGGGAAATTGACGTCATATGACCTTAACACCAATTCAGTTTCCCCACTAAATTTAGTGGGGAAAATGACGTCAAATAACTTTGTGTCACGTCACCCATGAACAAATTCAGTTCCTCTGCTAGATTTAGCGGGAAGACTGATGTCACAAGACCTCAACACCAATTCAATTTGACACCAAAGTCAGCGGAAAAATTATGCCGATGGCGACGCTGCGAAACGCGGGTACAGGCGCCTAAGAGCTACACTTTTAAAAACACTGCATAGGGGAATGAAAACTGTCTTGGGCAGTAACTAGTTAACGCGTTACCGGTAACTAGTTACTTTTTTCCGTTACTTGTAACTGCAACTCTTAGTGAAAATAATTTGTAACTGTAAAGGGTTATTATTTAAAAAAAAAGTACCTGTAAAGAGTAACATCGTTACATTTCTTCTCAGATTGATGAGCAAAAATATTGCAAACAACCACCAAATCGTCTTGCAACTCGTGAGAAAGTCCGAAGTCCTCATATGGGAAGGGCAAGGAGAAAACTGCTGCAAAAACCGTCTGGTGCTCAAGAAAAAAAAAAAAAAGAAGAAAAAATAGAAAGAAACTAAATTTGGGGTGACCCTGCTTGGCCAAGCTGGTCCCGCCAACTGGGATGATGGGACGCAGATGTAACAAAGCGCGGCATTTCTAAAGCATTTCTTTTTTCTTCGTCCAGCGGAGAAAGCAAATGCCTTTCACGGAGGACAGTTTTTGATGACTGTCGCCCCAAACGCCCGCAGGCTTACAGGAAAACCAATTTTTCGAACCTTGTCTTTTTGCCGCCAAGCATACGGTTTCTTCCCCTCTAAATTTGAATCGTCCAACTCCCAGATGCACTCTTGCAGAGTCTCGACTTAAGGACTATTTGCTCTCCCTTCTATTTTTTTGCAACCCAATTACCGGCCCTGCCTCCCGTCGCCCACTTGTACCTCATTGCTCTCCTTCTGGGGTCCCATCAATTAGCAAAGAGTATTCGCTCTAACCGTCTGTGTCATTCTGCTTGTTTGTGTGTTTTCTTGAAATTGAAAGACCCCCCTTAGCCAGGACCAGCAGCACTTGTCATCACTTGATTTGTGGATATTCACGTTGTGGGCTTTCCAGGTTGTCTCTTCTAGTTGGGGTGGTGAGATGGAGGAGCGCAAACGTGTTTGATCTGGTTAGGAAGTGGCGGAGAAAAGATAGCAAAAGCCGTTTGAAATCCTACACGCAGTGGCCGTTCGTACCTCAATCAGTGCTTCTTTTGCGCCGCTGCCGTGTTCAGCGGGTTTGACGGAGGAATATTGCCACAACATTGCTGTCCAAGTATTCAAGAGAAGCTTTGTTTTTCATGAACAAAGCTTCTCTGCACATGCAGTAAAAAACAATTCCATTGAGGAGCGCATTGGAGTGGCATAAGAAAACATCTACAATGCTGATTGCAAGGACTTATATTATTACTGACTTAACATTTGCACGATTTTTATTGCTTGCGTCCCATTTCGCCTCAACAAAGAAATCAGAAATTAGAATTGACCGATGGTAAACTCGCACCATGATTGGATATGCCCGAGATCTAGATGCGAGCTGTTGTATTCGTGTACACCTTATGGTGGTCGGGCTTATTTTAAAGTTCTTTATGGATCATCAGCAGGTACCTGCTAGCTTAACATTTTGAAAAACTAAAGTTGCCATTTATTTTAAAAAGAACTATAAATGCTTTACCATATAACGTATTTACCCAATACTGCCTTAAATTATGATCTTCTTCAGCAAGCTATTCATGGTAAAAATTAAAATAAGAAGAATCAAACATGTTAATATAGGTTGTTAGGAAAATCTTAGTTTCTCAAAAATTCAGATTCACTGTGAACAACACAATGTCTTATCGAAAATCCATGCTAATTGAAATGCATATTAGAAAGGTTCCTTTTTATTGTTTTCTAATATATTTTTGAAATGTAACGACAAAGTAACGGGGTAGTACTTTAGCGAAGTAACTGTAACTGTTAGAAATCACTCTTTAAATTTGGTAACGCTTGCTCATCAGGATACTCTTGATGAGCAAGTTTGCCGGCGTGCACAATCGCAACGATGGGATCCTTGACGTTTTTCATGCTTTCCGAAAGCGGGAATGGAGAGAACCAGCAAAAGCGTGCTCAATCCTAAGAAAAAGAATGAGAGGCCTGCAGAGGAGAGCGAGGGTGAGCGAGGGTAAATGAGAGACAAGAGAACGATGGGATGAGTGAAGCAAGGATACGTGATAATGCCGAGGCATTTAACAACCCGGGGAGGAGAAGGGAAAGCACTGTCTCCTGCTCCCTCCCGGTGCTGAGACTGTCTTGGGTTGCCGGCGGCGTGTTTTTGGACCCTCTGAAACGGCGCGTCCTCTTCCGCGTCACCGTGCTGCCCCTCTCTTGTCAAATTCGTCGTGTGTTTCCCATCGGAACGTCGTATGACGCAGGGGGCATAGAATTTCGCATCAAATAAATCAAACTTTCAACACATTATTCCTAAGGGGGGTTCGTCGGGACCGGGCAAATTCATAACCAAAATGCGGGATGTCGCATAAACCGGGGACACATAATCAAGGTTCCACTGTAATAATGAAAGATATATATTTCCCTTTCTTGTAGCACGACTTGGTGTCTGCGAGTCAGCGCGGACGCCTACATTTCTATGTTTTATTTCACCTTATGATGGACCGCAAAGGAAGCTACAAGCCACCGGAGCCAATGTACAGCTCAGAGGTTGTCAGGCGTCCTTCCGGCTGGGCGAAGCGACGCGGGGAGCGAGACATCATGTGACAAGCTATGAGCTATGGATTGGCTAGGGTAGCTCGTAGCATCCATTGCGGTACATCGTAAGGTGAAATGGGGTATATGTTACTATGCCAAGATGCTAAAGAGCTATTCTTTGTTTGTTTGTTTGTGTTTGTTTGACTTTTCTTCCCGCTAAGCGATATTCAAGAAAAAAAAAAAAGCAAACAAACACACAAAATAAATGAGGGCAAACTGCCCTGCAATTATGTTGCTACGTGAAACATTCTTGGTAGGGTTGTGCGAGTATTCGAAATTTTGAATAGTAGTTTCGAATAATAGACTGCTCTACATTCGCTTTGAGAAGTACTGCACTATTCGCGTTTTTCAAAGTGTTGATTGTGGTGGGTTAGCCCCGTTGAGTGCGCTTCTTTCCGTGCACTGGTGCACAGCGGAGAAGCAATACCCGGCGAAAGCGAGCTCCGCGGGTGCTGCTTCTCTGCATTACATCAGCGCTCGGTAAGAAGCATACTTAAAGGCGGACCAGCAGAAATATTCTTCCGCCTGGCGGAAATTCCTCCTCGCCCTCTTTCTTTCGTGTATTGTAGCACGGCGAGGCGAGGGGAAAGGT